AAGGCCAGACCTTCCACCATCTATAATTTCGGTTTCTGGAAAACTGAATTGCTTAGGAATGACAGAACTGAAGTCAATGACAATTACCAGAATAGCATTGTAAGTATTTATAGTAGAAAAGCGAAGCTATGAGCTATGGTAGACTATGGTAAAAGCAAAGCAATCCGTACAGCAAGTCAGTGCTGTGATGGCGGTGTTAAAACTGAAAAAACAGAAATTAAATAGGAATATAAGTACTAATTCTGTTACTACAGTGTTACTCTGTATTTCAACTAAAATAAGAAAAAATCAATTATAAAATTGATTCTGTAAAGGTGTGTTCTTTTTTGCTTGTTCTTACCTAGGGTCTATTACGAAGTCTAGAATCAGAACTTTGTTGAGTATTTTTAAGGGACTTATACTGAAAATAGCTGCATACTTTAATGTCTTCATAGAAATTTTTACCGACTATTAGGATATGATAATAAATGTTGAACAATGTGATATTATTGATCATTTATATACAATAGACTAAAGTAGCCCTGCAGGCTTTGTTGACTATTGTTGTGTAGTTTCATTTTCAATGTGTTTTACTTTTTCAGCTCAAACTCGTTTATTATGATCTTTCATTAGTTCTTTGTTGCCGTTTGAATTGATTCAATTTCTTAATGTTCATTACGTTGTTCATCCATATCATTTTTTTTCATAACTACGAAACACCGGAATATTTTTTATAAAAGAATTTGGAAATAACTTATATGTAAGAATTGCAACAAAAATATTTTTTTATGTACACCTAAAAACGAAACACCATTAAGCCTTTAGTCGGGGTCTTATATATAGGTATGTTCTGTGTTTTACATTAATTTTTAATTATTAAATTGTTGAAAATTTTAATTTACATTTAAATTTCGAAATTTCAAAAATCTTCATTGTGATGATATTCGAAAATGTTGTGAGAAAATTAAAGCTCCAGGAGGTTGTTTGTAATGCAGACCCATTGACCAAAGTTCTTTCTGGGTATAAATGCTGTTAAATTATATATTAATTACAAATTTAAATTAAATTACAAATTAAAAATTTTTAATTCATTTGCTGAAATTTTTTTGTTGTTTTTTAAATTTAACATCTTACATCTTTTAATAAAAAAAAACCCATTGAATATATATTAGAACACGGAGAATTATGTTTTATTAATTTTATTTGTCGTGAAAAAAAAATTATTTCTAATTAAACCTATCAAGTAAATCTTCAACTATGCATTAATTATAATTTTATACATTTTTCATAAGTGTGGGATATGATACAATTATTTTTATATGTGCTAAGAAAACATAATATAAGTAAATATTCACTGAATTATATAAAGCATTTGTTTTATGTATTTTTTTGCATTATATATTCAAATCTCTTTTTCTATGTTCAGAATATGGTCGTGTAGGTGAATATATTTTCTGTTAAATAAATTTTAAGGCCTTTAATTTATTCAATTTCAGGTATGTAAAATACATACTTTCAATTCGTCATTTCAACCCCTACCTTACTCAAACACAGGTAAAATATTCTTACCTGAATTCTAGGGTATTACTAGGTAAATAATTGAAGAATGTAAGGACTTCTCTGTATTTTGAATTATTTTGAAATGTGCAAAACTAAAAGTGGAATTTAACATTTCCAAAAATGTTGAGAATTGCAGCAATGAAGGTGCATTCCCACTACAGGTATGCTATGAACTCAATAAACTGGGAATTGCTTCTTATTCTGTGGTTTTAAAACATGTTTATAGTTTATTACTTTAGAATTTTCAACCAAACATATCGTCGTAGCATTACGTTGTGGTAAAAATGATATTTGTTGCTTCTATACATTTCAAAAATATTATTTCTGTTCATAATCTAATAGATTATGTAAAACTATTATTTTGATGAAGATTGAATATTCTGACTGAGGGGGCTTGATCCAGATTTTTTGGAAAACAAATCCTGGCATGCTTAATCTACGCTGTAGATTGACAGATGTGAAGTACTCTCTTCATTTTTTGCGGCAATAGTCATTAGAATATTGAGTATCCTAATAATTTTGATATCTATAAATAAATATCTCTATGGGACATATCAATGAGATCGCTAGTTTTTTCGTTAATATGCAAAAATAGTCTTTTTTAGAACGAAAAATTCTAACATGTTTAATTACGGTTCCACAAGAGATGGACATTCACAAAGCAGAAGAGAAATATCCTGTTTATTTTCCTCTCTTTTCTGCGACAAGAGTCACTGAAACATTCAATATCTTAACATGGTTTCTTAACTGGTAGTCATTCATGAGTAATCCTACTACGAAACTGATATATCTACGAGAGATCTGCATGAGACTACTAGATTTGCTTCTAAATAGGAAAAAATTATTTTTTTGGAAAAGAAAAACTTAGCATGTTTAATCTACGTTCCACATGGGACAGACATTGACAAAAGAGAAGGGAGAGAGAAAAGAGAACTACTTTCTTTGTTTTCTTCGCAGCTGCGGTACTTAAATGAGAATACTAGATTTTCTCCCAATTAAGGGAAACTATTTGTTAACAGATGTTTGCATATTATTGATCCTTTCCAACTTTTATTAAATTTTTCATACAGAGAGATTACAGGACCTATTTACGTTATGTTTGGATAATTGAAATGTTCTGAACGTGAACTTTACATAGCGTTAAATATTGTTGATTAAATTATAAGGTAATATAATTATGCTATGGTGAATCTTTATATTAAATCTTACTTGTGTACTAAATAGTTTGTTTTTCTTTCAAAATGCATTATAGCGGATAGTACAAGAATCGAATTATATTAAATTATTTATTGGTTTGCAACATTACTATTTGTGTACAGGGGATATCAGCAAGAATTTATGCTTATCTCTCGATATTGCGAGAGCTAAGCCAAGAATGTTGAATTTTGCGTAAATTGATCATCAATAAACTCTGACTATATATCTCAATTAATATACAAAATGAAATAAAAAATCTATTACCATTGCGAAATCAAAAATTATATTAACTCTTCTTCTTTCTTTTCTTTTTTTAAAAAGAAATTTAATTGACTTTGGTACAGCTTAGTATATATAAATGTAATATTCAGATCGAAATCGGTACGTAAGTACTCAGACTGAATAATTCTGTGGCTGTAGTACATAAATATTTAATGTGTATATAAATATTTAATGTCCACCAATAAAATATTTTTAATTCCTATCTTCTAAATAAAAACAGATTATTTACACTACGGGCTATATTTCAAACAATAAAGCAAGAATGATTTTCTAATTTTCTGTTAATCTCTATAATGGAATGGTATCGCAAGCTGGATTATTAAAACTGTTTTCACTTCATATTTTTCGGTTTTTTAAGAAATTAAAATTTCATATGAAGTAAAAGATATCTGTTTTTAACAAAGAAACAATGCTACACGCTATGTGATATATAATATATATATGTAATATATACATATATAGTTTAGCTTTCATGACATCATATTTCTATATGTGTACATATGTGAAATCTAAGTAAATATCCTGAAATTTTAGTGGCATTTGATACAAACATAATTATATTTAATGTAAGATAGCCCTAACAATATCCTGTGTTAAACAGAAGCAGGATATATTGTTAGATTCCAAATATTTTAATGTAAATAAACTTAAACTTTAAATAAAATTACGTTATAACACAAGTTAGGAAGTCAGATAGATTCCTCTTGCTGTGAGGAATCTCAGAGAGGCTCAGTGAGGTTAATGTTACTAGCTCTCGCAATAAAAATGCAAGCTAGCTTCATCTTCGTTTTAGTGAAATGAAGTTGTTTTTTCCATACAAAATTCAGTTTTGAGGTTAGAACGAAATTAAGAAAAATGGCCTTAATTTCGTTGATTCGAAGGCTGACATTAAGGGACATTTCAAATACAACTATGCGTAAGATAAATTTTAAGCAAAAGATAAAGTTTAAATAATGTCAATGACAGATAACTTTAATAAAACCGGAAAATATTTTGAAAGTAGCGCAAATTTTTAGATTTAAATATAGAGGAAAAACTGTAACTGTTATTAATTTAAAATAGAGTGATAAATAATAATTCAGATATCTGAAATCCACTAAAACTAATGAACTACTGAATGCCATCCTTTATAATAATCAACTTTTAAAATTTCCCAGATACAAATGGTGTTTAGACCATATAAAAACATTCAAATTGTAAATAAAAAACATATAATTTCCTTAATTTGGGGTAGTATGAACACGGTTGCCACATATGATAGTTTAGTACCAAAATTGGTAGTCTGGTACTCGTTTTTAAGATATTGTACCTTTTTAAAGCGCGAACTTTATTGTACATACTATTATATTATCTAATTAAATTTATTTATAGATGCAACTGGGCACTATGAAACTAATACAATTTTATGTATTGATTTAGAAAAAATATTGAGACCGCAAAAGGTAAAAGAAAATTACGATCGAAATGGATTTAAGGAACTCAAATAGTATTATGTTATGCAAAGAATTATTTGATAAAAAAGATAAGCACCACGTATGGTCACCAAAAGATAATCCAAATATTTAAATAATAAAATTGTTATGAATAAAAAGACTTGTATCTTTCTATATCTTCTGTACAATTTATATATATTGTATTTTTTTATTAAAATACAACATAATAAAATTGGACCTTTTTTTACAGAAATGGTACCTTTTTTAACCAATTTTGGTACGGAAAAAATTTTACAAGTGGCAACGGTGAGTATGAACAGTTTCAAAATTAACTTAATTTTATTTTTACGAAATTAAGAAAATTTGTCTGTATGAAAAAAGTATTAACTTTTTACCAATCATTTTAATATAAATTTTATTTTTAATTTTTTTAAATTCATTATCATCAGTCGGATTATAATATAGTTTATTTTTTTCATTTTTTTTTAATATTTCATATGTAAAATTGATTTCATTAATAAATTAACACAAAAAAGAAAAAAAACATACCTGACATTAGCGTAGTGATGTCCAGATCCAGTTCCGGCATTCCAATCGACATGTTCAATCTCCGAAGAGGCTTTAGTATTGTCACAAGGCATAATTCAAAAAATCACTTTCACCGCGTCTTTTTTATTAATTAATTTTGGCATTTAGTATGCCAATAATTATTTTTGTTTATTCTTTTTATTAAAAAAACTTATTTATGTATAATATGCATGGTTGGTTGTTTTGAAATCGCTGAGAAAAATAAATTGTAATATGAATAAAAAAAAAAAATAATAAAACAACAACAATGAAAATTTCTTTCACACAAAAATAATTAAAATTGGCAAGCACTTTTTTCAAGTAATATTTTTGTTGTTGTTTTTCTTCTTCTGCTTTTATGCGTGCTTCAGTGCGGGCGTGTAGTACAATTACTTTTATTACAAAGGATAATAAATAGAAAAGAAATTCGTAAAAGAAGCAAAACAATCCAACCGAAGAAGACGTAAATACATATAAAAAATTTTGTACTAATTAATTTTTGTTTATTTACTTAAAACATATGCAATAAAATATGCCAAAACACTACAAATATAAATACATTTCGTTTGTTAGAGAAAAACTATAAAAATGAACAAAACTTTTTTACTAAATTTTTTTAAGAACTTTATGCGTCACAAATGATTTACATTTTTTACAAACGAATTTTCTTATTGTAAAACATTAATATGTTATTTTAATATGATTAACAATTTTGCAGAAACACTAATTAATTAACAGTTTCAATACCACTCACATTAATATATATGTATTATTAATATTTTTAATAATTAATTTCTGCTCAATAAAATATCCGCACTCCCCACGTACTCAAGCTAAAACCATTTCTCTACTGATATTCTTTTGTTGTTGAAGCAAGAATAAAATAATAAAGCGAAGTATGTGCTCGTATTTATATGGAAAGTAGCTGGTCCATTTTCAATTGTTTCACATTAATCTACGAAATTTTCTTTAAACGTACAGTAATGCGTTGTAAGCAATAAATAATAAATGTGTACATTCAAATTTTATTTTTTTTGAATTAAAATAAATTAAACAAATTTATAACAATATAATAATTAAATTATAGTTATTTTCTGGCAGTCACACAAATGTCAGATGAAAATGTAATCGATAATTGGCAAATGTCATCACTAGTAGATTGTTTATGTTATCGTTCCTTGCAACTAAAGTAATTATATTAACGTCAACAATTGGTTGATGATATTGTATTGTTGGCAATTGTTTTAATCGTCATAGTTTACTTAAAATGGTAGATACACAACATTGGTCTTATGACCTGTTAAAGAAAATTGCCGCGGAACAAAAAGTCGATCACTTTGAAGAACTCAAAAATAATTTCAAAAAGGAAATAAACTCTGTCCGACGTAAGTGTCTCATAAAGAATACTAAGGATTTAATTGATGTATTGGAGAAACGTGATGTGTTATCTGAATATTATATAGGTTTTAAATTTGTTTAATAAGAAATATACATGAGTCATAATTTTGTATACTCATTTCAGAGCCACTACAAATAATAGCAGATTACTGCAATAATAGTTCAACTCTGCATGAGGCATTGTCAAAATATGAACCTCCGAAAGAGATTACTGCTGCTGAACCAGTAAATCAATATCAAGAAATGCGACTTGCGGACGAACTCCATCATAAATTAAATATAAGCTCAAATATAGGTTCTCGTGTACAATCCGTTAGCAATTATGAACGAATACCTCCACCTCCGCCAGTTTCAAAACCTATACAATTACAAAATATATATTCGAACGGCTTGCCAGCGCAAAAGCGAAATGCCGTTTTCAATTTATTATCTAGAGAAATTGGTAGTTATTGGCGTCGCCTAGGACGTTCACTAGAAATAAGCGAAGGAATAATGGATGAAATTGAATTACAATTTCAACGCGACTTTTCATCTCGTGTTATAAAATTGCTGGAAATATTCGAAAAAGATGAGTGTCATGATCCAAATCATTTTGTATTGTTATTATTTCGTGCTTTAGAAAATTGCCAACGAAAAGATCTTCGAAGAAAAATAGAAAATATCCTATCTTATTGATTATTCATTGATTTTTATTATTAATTTCTAAAAAAAATGTATGTATCAAATATATTTAAAATGTAAATATATATTATTAACTATACATATTTACATACATGTATTTTGAATAATGCCATAAAAAATGTTTGGGCAATGTATTTTATAATAAAATTTACTTCACTTTATAATCAAATAACAAAGATTTTTATGCTCATCTACTTGATTTTGTTTTATTATAAAGCTTTTTGTGTAAAAGTGTACTATATTATTTTTAAGAGCATACGTTGAAGAAGTGATGTAATTCTATTATAATTAAAATATAGTTAATTTAGAACCAATTTTTGGTTTTAGTGAGAAATTTGTCAGTGATTGAGTCTTTGTTGGAAGAAATGATCGACACTTGATTATCTAAACAAGAATGGCTCTGAGGCGTAAAGCTGGTCTTTGCTGGAATCCGTACAGAAAGTTTCATAAAACAGAATTTTTAGGAACGAATTAGTCTTTCTTAGGGAGCAGATATATTTTCATAACAATACTATAAGTACTTATAAACAGTGGCAGATTTTGCAGAACTAGGTAAATCAAACCTAGACTTTTTCTGATAAAACACGGTTGGTGGTATGAAGTTTAGATTATATATATTCCCTCATAACTAACAAATATTTAAGAATTTGTTGTCAAAACAAAATAATACAAGGCAAGTGCTATGCTGTGTAAGTTTAAGTATCTTATGCCTTCTAATTGCAGTCTACATATTACATCCGAAGAGACTAATATGTATTTAGTAATGTTCTAAAAACAGCTGTATGATTAACCAATACTTAAATAACTAAAACATAAAGTTTGTTGTAATTCATTATTATTTACCAAATTTCTATTTAAAAATTCCGTATGCTTGATTTTAAATTAATTATATTCCAATAATAAATTTTTAATGTTCTTCACATAACAACCATTGCAAATATTATGTATTATTAATATTGACATATTTTTTATAAGTTCTAAGTATTTTGCAAAAAATTTATTGATACTCATATTAGTTAATTCATAAAAAAATATTTTCATATTTCGCAAATGAGTTGATTTACATAATTTATAAGATTTTTATTTTTGAAATTATTATTATCGTTTACATTGAAGTTTTAAAAAATAATCAATAAGGATAAACTGTTTGTTTCTGTAGTTTTATAAAAACTGCGCACCATAAAGCCGCAAGTAAATACACATTATAAAACGTCAATATATATATATATATTTACTTTAAAAATTTATTTAATATTTTCTATGTTTACAAATTTTTACAAATTGTGCACTTAGAAAAAGTAGCCTTTCAAAGGTTTACATATACATCTGTTACAAAAATGATGTGAAACAAACTGTTTATTTCAATAACATATGGATTTATATTTAATGTTCTTCGAAGAAATAGAGGTTTTAGAGTAATTTATTTCTGTGTTCGATTTGATTTTAGTTAGTTGTTTAGTTTTACTTGCGTTAATTTAAATATATATTTAACACAATCGAAAGGACTGTTTTTTTATACTTAAAAATTCGACGTACGTTATGTTATATATGCTTTTTTAAATTAATTTTTATACGTTGCTAAAACTTCGATTTCAATAGTTATTGTTTTATAAGGTGTATACAGATTTTACGTTGGAGCTGTGTTTAGCCATTGTGTCTTTGTGTAACTGATATTGTAGACTAAGATTGCCCAAACGTAAGGCATCTTTCAATTTGGTACCAATTTCCAAAACAGCATCCTTCTTGGTGCCGTCAGCAGTCCAAATAGCTTAAAATGAAACAAGTTTATAAATAAGTTTAAAATTTGAAGCATTCTTAATTTGATATAACAAAATAAAAATTTACTTACAGATTTTATTACCCTTAGTACGAACGTTAACAACGGCTCCACAAATCTGATCAGTGTTATCGAAAGCTTCACCAATTAAGCAAAGTAGCTAAATAGGTATATAAAATCATTATTAAAAAATATTTAATTATTTTTAATTAGTTTTATTTATTTACCACATCGAGCCATAAATTATCTAAATCAGATTTTGAATTCTTCATAACGTTAATAACCCAGCGACCACCTTGTTTGTTGGCAACATCTTCCCACATTGGGCTGAAAAATTATATAAAATTTTGGAATCAATATTGTAATATAATATCACAAAGTATGATATTATTTAAAAATTTTTGTTTTTACATACCGAACTCCCTTCTTGAATAGAGAGTAATCACAACCGCTTTTAATTTCCGATGGAGGTTTGATGTGGTTATAAAGACTGAAAGAAAATAATAAATTAATTATATCTTTAGTAATTCACTATTTCACTCAATAGTATAAGTCAGTAGTTAATATATATCTTCTAATGTTACTAAATTATAATGCACTTAATAAAAAAAGAACTGTTATTATAAAAAAATCCCGATCATAAGCATAACACAGGTAATTCCGAGGCGAATGAGTTTACTAGACACGGTATCTAAGGAACACATTCAAAACATAGGAATAGTATGGGCATGCCGTCAGTATCATATAAAGCAGATTTTGAAATATTTCTGTATAAAACAATTAAATACATAATGGAAAAGTAAACGATGTACAGACAAATAACTGTACGCAAGTTGGTGCCAAAAGAGAAAAGTCTAACAAAGTCATCATTGAGATGCTCCGTAAAGACAGCAGCCTAATGATGGGTCAACTCTGTCAGTTAAAAAATCATACTAAATTGAGTATTCCATTGAATGAACCTAGCTATCATTACTACAAAGATATCAATATTATGGTGTATGTTGATAGGACACTGTCAGTCAGAACCTCATGCTAGCAATTTCTATCATGTTATCTGCTTTACAAATCCCCGTAGTATATTGAATTAATTTTTTTAATAACTCTTACCGTATTGTGAGGAAGAAGATATTATATGATATCTATATATCATTAACTAGCGAATGCGCAATATAAATTAAACATGCTAGACCCCTATTTTGTAGAGGATCTTACTCTTATACTTCATGAAAACTTTAAAATGGAATTATTAATTATTTATCTCTTTAGAGACCATCCCATTTATAATAACAGACATGTGCTAACAATTTTTCAGTCTTTAATACACAGTTAATATGCGCTTTCCGATATTGTCTGCTACCATAGCACGTCAACAATTGCCAGTAATTACTCAGATCCATTAATCTTTATTTTGGCTACATTCATAGAATTTTAAAATCCAAGACTGTCTGTATGGTCAAAACTGTATATTAAAATGATAGATTTATGATTTAATATTTAATAGAAATTATATACAAAATTACAAATATGAATGATAACGACTTCTTTGTTTTTTTTCTTCTCTTTGTTACTGGCCTTTTTACTCCATTCTGAGACTATTATTAAGTCGTATATCTATAATTCGTTTCATGAATGTAGAATCAAAATTGTCAGGTTTGTAGGTTATATTATCTGCATCCAAATTTTTAAAACTGAAATGTCAATTATTAAACAAAATTTTCTTAAGTTTTTTGATTGATTAAAGTAACCGAAACATGTTATCACTGACCTTTGATTTCTCAATGAACGCTATAACGATATAACTTTTCTAACATTTTTCATGAATATTTATTTAACTTTTTCATAAACAAAACGAAACTTCTTACGGAAGAGAATTAGAAACTAAGTTTAGGTACCTTACATATATAATACTTCTATTCGTGATGGACATACAATCTGCATGCCTAAACTTCATGACGTTATTTATGTTATATGTTTGATTGGCGTACTATATAAAAAATGTGACATTAACTGATCCAATAGTTACTGGATGACTAGTTACTGATAAAATTTTGAAGTAAAGAAATTTAGTAAAATATTTGAATTTTTCTTCCCTCCTAACCAATACAGTGAGTTCCAGCGATATTATTACAGTTCTATTCTTTACTATAAAGAAAATCATGGAACCTCATAGTATCCTCTTCGAGACGTCAGTTGCATTATAATAAAGTTCTCAAAAGGGTTCCGCGTAAAAGCTCTTAGTAAGAACTACATCTTCTAAGTGCAGCAAGAACGTCCCTAAAATAATTCAGATCAGAATATAGTGTGACCTATAGGGCTAACACGTTAACTGTAGTGTTATCCATCGAACTTTGGATCTGCCCCATTGAAAAGACTAGGTTTCTCCACCTTGACTTCGATTCAAATCCCACCCATCCCAACCCTGACCTAACCCGTTACTTGTCAGATATAAATACGTCAATTCTCAATGTATACCCTAACTGCATTTCCACCCCCCATTAAGCTTACTTGAGTCCAATCGAACTTTGTATCTGCCCTATTGAACTGGTTAGGTTTCCCTGCCTTAACCCAGATTGACTTCAATTCAAATCCCACCCATCCCCAATACGTTTTTACAACATTTATTATAGTTGTTAGTAAAATAAATTTCAATCGAAAAAAATTCTAAATATAATTTGAATCTATTATTTTACTTACCTCCAGAAGTCTTCCACCGTTTCAAAGCTGGTAATTTCATTTTGCATATCCTCCCAAGATTTGGTGCGATCACTTTCTAAATACCATAATGTCCATGCATTTTGGAGGGGATGCTTAAACAAGTGCTCAGCACGGACCTCCTCTTGCTCCTTGATCTCTTTTGCTGGTTCTGCACGAGCTGGAGCTTGAGATGGTGGTGGGACAGTTTCTGTCTGTGTTGGATTCTAGAAATTAAAATAAATTTATTAATTTTTTTTTTTTTGAAATTGACATTAGAAATTTTATTAAAATAATTACACCGAATAAATTTGGATTAGCAAAATCCTTTTTTCTGTGAAAATCGCTTTGATACATCTTACTCCGTTTAAACTATAATACTGACTCTGACTCTGACTAATGCGCGAATGTAACGAATGAACCGCAAGCAAACTTCGCCGCGGATTAAAATCAAAATGCACACATACACGCACACATGCACAGAATATGAATATATGTTCACTTTTTAGACAATATTATAAATTAAAAAGTTTGAATTATTTTCAGATAAAAAAACAGCCTTTCCCGCAAGTAATTCCAAACTAAAATTCTATTGCCCTAAATATTTTTATTTTTTTTTTTGTTTCTGAAAATCAAACAAAATTTTCTAAAGGCACAAATCGAAACAAAATTTATTCTCAGTTATAGCTTTTGGTATATTATTGTTCATATGAAAAATTCAAAAATTGAAGGAAATATCAAAGGTAAAATAATTTAAAACACAAATATAATTTTTTCCTTCCTTTTTTTTTTTTTTAATTACACTTTAAATTTCTACAATATTTGCTTTCTTTTGCTTCAACTCAGTCAAGAGTTCTTCCAACCAACCTACTGACTGACTGACTAACTGACTAGTAAAAAAAAATAAAAAAAACCTCAACCGATATTGACCGCTTTACCGTCATGCGCAAACTACTTTCGTTTTATGCGATAAAATGGTGTTCAAGCTTAAAAGAAAGAACACAGCGCGGAGAAAATGAAGACAAATCAAATGTATTTGTTGTTTTTCTTGCTTCTTCTCTAACTGTTATAAATAAGTTGTCTTTGTTGTTTTTGTTGTTGTTACTGTTGCTGCTGCTGCTCCTACTGCTAAATGACCGTCTTCACAAACAGTGGCACAGGCAGTGCAATGGACTGTGCTTTTACTGTTTTTTACTTCTCTTCATTATTTTACTTACACACTTACATACATATATATTTTATATTAAATTTCTTAGTATGCTTTCAATAGGATTTTGCCTTCAGTTTGCGTCTCTTTGTGTGTTGTTTTTTCTTCTTTTTTTATCACTTTTATAATTGCGATTTTGTGTTATTGCGTTTTTGTTCATAATTTTTTTAAGTACGATGCACTGAATATTTTTTGTTTTTGTTTTTGTGTTGATTTGTTTATTTGTGTAGATGAGCTGTCTGCACATTGTTGTTGTTGTTTATAAGTGTGTTTACAAAAAATTCTTGCTTTCACAACGGCGAAAAAGCTTTAGCAGAGATTGAGCGACCTTATGGAGACATTCCCAAATTTTTTATGATTTGTTGTTGAGTCACATCAAGTAATTGCATAGAGTAAAAAAGTCAAAACACAGTAAAGGTGTGTGGGTTGGATGTGGGAGATTTTTTTTACATAAATCAAATTCTTATCATAACTTTTTTTTTGGAAGAGTGAAGAGTTCAAATAAACAGTGTAGAGTAATGTTTTTTTTTTGTTGCCAATGAGAATGATTATAGGATCTAAGTAAATTCTGCTGATATTATAATACAAGTATGCGATTTAATTAAAAAAAAATATTATAAAATATAAATCACAGAAATTACATTTTATTAATATAATATAAATGTAAATGTTTTTAAAAGGAGTTTTTTGTAAATGTCCTATATGTTCCGGAAATTATTCTTTGAGACAGAAGAAGCATTTATAGGACAATGAAGTCTATCTAAACAAAAGTGAGCACTTAATAACAGTTTATTTAAATAGCTTATATAGGCCGTGTGTGAGTTCGAGTAAATTGAAAATTAATATTTCCTAGAGATTTTTTGTACTGCACTTATATAAATATTTATTTATTTATTTATTGCATTTATTTATTATTTTTGGTTAAAAGTTTTCAAATATATTTATTAAATATCTTATAAAATTTTCACAATGATAACACCTAATTTACCTAATTTTATCCAATTTACCATACTCGTAATTCTGATAGTTACCAACATTCGCTGCCATACCGATATAATTTACTATTTCCCTCAATTTACTATCAATTTACTCGAACTCGCACACGGCCATATTTTATTTGCTTTTAGTCAATTTCTGTTGATAAGAAAAAGCAAATTACTCGTTCAGAGGCGGATTCGAAAAAAACGGTGAATTATGTAGATGAATAATTTGGAAATTAATTAACAAAAGTATATAAGGAACTGTTATTTATAAAATGAACAAATAACATTTTTACAATAATTTAGAAATAAATGAGGTTATCAGCAAAATTGTTAGAAAATTAAAAAAAATTTGATTTACTTTGAGCTATGAATATTTCTAAACTCATTTCAGTACATATTAAACATCGAATTAAGGACTATTTAATGAATTAAGAGCAAATAAATAATATGTGCTTAATTTGAATTAATTATAGAACCTCCAGATCTGTAGGTTTTAGTATGAACTTTTTTCTGAATTGACTAATTCATTGAATTGACTAACAAATTCTACCTTAACAAATATTTATGAGACTTCATGATAGGGCCATAGAGAAACCATAGAGACTACGATACATTTTTAGATAATGTTGCTATGTCTAGTAACACACAGCATTCTTTGTTTACTTGATGAGCAATATTGCGCTTATAGTTCCACTTATAGACATCAACATAGATACGACAAACATTGCCACACTTATCTCAAGAATGCAAATCTCAACATAATTGACTTGGTTTGGTTAGTTATTACTGGACTTTTTCAATTCAGTTCTAGTCAAGCCAACAAACAAAACTGGTCGCAATTTCTGTGCATAAATATTATTTTATTTTATTTGTAATAAATTCAAAAATTAATTCTTTTAATAAAACCGATTCTGGCCCCGAGTTAAAAAGTAATTGGTAGCGATTAATGCTGTTCATATTATTCGGATTTTTAAAAACCGAAGTTCTCCGGTTATTCGATCAGTCGGATTTCAACGAAGTTTCCGGAGTTAAAACAAAATCGACTTTTTGTAGAGTCGGAGTAAAGTTAAAGCCCGACAAAATTTAAACACAAAAGTATTGAGGTCGTTACTAATATAAACATTCTTCTAACAACATAAAATTAAATGTCAGCTGTTTACAATTAAAATATAAACAAAGAAAAGCTCAACAACTAGAAATTTTTGACATAAAAAAGCTCATTCCCATTCCTTAAATATCTTGTGCTAATGTAAACGACAAAAAGCCCAATGTTACTAAGTAACTTACTAAGTATGCAGTGGAAACGTAGTATAAGTCTGTGAATTTGATAAATTTATCTTCCTCTTCTTCGTCTTAGACTACTTACTCACTCTGAGTGTCAAGTATTTGATAATTATTCAAGATCACCTCCTTGTGTTGAACAATGTTAAGCAAACAAAAATCAATTTTTTATATTAATAATGGTTTGTTTTGTAAGGTAGGTATTTAACATTTTATTCTTTTTTTTTATTTTAAATAACATATAATTTAAAACAACATTTCGTATATATACGACAATATACTTTGCCTCATCCTACAATTTGGATTACCCTGGCAATATATTCCAAAGTCGCCCCAGCAAATGTAAGATGTGTGAAAGCAACTAGCAGAGCAATTAAATGCTTAACATTATAAGAACACTTGTAGTTAAAGGCAGTAAAGTTTTTTTGGTCACCATGCGGCTCCAAATTAATAATGAGATAACTGCAAATTCCACACGTTAAATGAAAATTTTGCATAAAAGTGTTATCATTCAATGAAACCGTATTCACTTTTTTCCATTTTCGTAAAAATTCACGAGGTCGTCTGCTTTAAACGTCTATCAAACACCAACTGAACGACGTAGCTTGCCCAAAATTAAAAGGTTGGCCACTGGTAGATTACAGCTGACGGCAGCACTGTTGCATTTGGAGTAACTACGCGGGAAATTCAAAAAGTCACTGACTTATCAAACCACCCTCGTATACTGCTTTTAATAGTTCAATGGAACTAATTCTTTTAAGATATATTAATCTATTTACTACGTATTTATTTGTGGATCAAAAACACAATCATATCGGAGTAAAATGCGTTACCAGCTAATTTACCACGATTCGTATAGTAAAGACAATAGTACAAGACTTTAAACTCTTTATTTATCGTGACAAATTTGCTGAAGACGTATTAAATCTTTTGCACATAATGTAGATATTTCTAAAGGTGTATCCACACCAAAGGGAACGTTTACGAACGAACAGGTACGATTACCTGCGAATGTCCGTTCGTTCGCAAGCGTTCGCTTTGGTGTGGATGCACCTTAAGAAGTTGCCTCTATAATAGGAACGAAGATTTTGCCAATTACTTACAACAGAGCTACCTACTTATTACAAAGTACATCGTCGAATGTTATAAATCCATAATTAGGTAGGCTGAATAAAGAACATAATTTCATAACGATCGATACATTTTTAAAGGATTTTACAGTTGTTTGCAGTCAATTTTAAATTTTAAAATAAAATTTTTTTACCATATATTTTAGAAATATAATTATACTTTCACAACTTTATATGGTTAAGTATTTAGCTTTTATTAATTTTCAAATATCAAAAAGCAAATTGTCATCTAAACTCTTATATATAGTCTGCTTATAACAATTAAACGATAATATAAGTATGTAAAGTTTCTCAAATATGGTGAAGTTGTTTTAATAAAAGTTTATGATCTACAATATTCCTTGTGTGACCCTCTCGGGGGATATTGAACGACGCTTGGTCGTCTTCGACGAGTAAGTCCTGTACGTAGACCCGATCGTTGTTGAAACCCCATGACGTCGGCCATTTGTTTTCTTGTCCATCTACGCACACGAATTTAAGTCCAATTAAACTTTGAACTTAAGCTCTTGAAGTGGCTATGTTTCTGTAGCTGGATTTAGATTGATTTCAATTATATTCCCCCTTCCCTCTCACTTTTCCGTATACCCTTACACCAAACATCATCTATCCATAACCAAACCTATGTATTAGTCTTGTAATTCTTACATTTTATCTGCATTTTACATACTGGCGGGTTGCAACAACAACATCTACAATATTAGGTGGTTAAGATTAAATTACATTCATAATCTCCAATTCTTGTAATGTCTACCGTTGTTTTAACCGGTGCCAGAACAATAATTGGATATAACCTCACAGTTGGTTTAAGTAACCCCAGAAACTGGACGATTAAATTAATTAAAAAGTTAGTGGAATACAATGAGTTTTTTTCATATCATATGGAGATGATCATCACATATTGACAATTTGGAGAAAAAGTCAGAATAGAGTGATTATCAAATTTAAAACCGATTATACGAGTTTTTTCTTTCCATTATAGCATTTAATTTGAAGATAAAGAAATCGAGTACAATATATTGCTAATTTTTGCATCCTGAAGATACCGACAACGTGCTTTAAGTTTACAAAATTAATCACTTCATTAGCAATTACAATAACAAATGCATATTTAGCGGCAAAATGAGTCTTTCTATCTGAAATATGCACTCAACAGTCAATAGAATGCACTCGTCTATTCCATACTTTTTAATCAATATACAGCCACATTACCAACAAAAGCAATGTGGATTCAGTAAAATTATTATTAACGCTGTGACGTTACGTTTTGACCTTGAAATAGTTTAAAGAAATTGTTGATATAAATTTTTTACAAATAATTTCAAATTTATTTGTATTATAATTTTGTTAAATAAATATATATATGTTTTAAAATAACACGATAACTTTTTTCTTTCCAGCGCTAAAACGACAACACATTACTTTTAGTATTTCTACACTCTCTAAGCTATTGATATTTAAAAGCACATTATTAAACAAATACATAAAATAATTTCGTTTTAAAACATATACAATAAAAACTTTATTATTTATTGCAACGTTTTTCATTTTTTTTAGTTAATATATCTGTCACGAGCATGCAATTGTAGGCGTGTTAAGAATTTACCTTTTCATCCTCAGATAAAACCATTGTGTGATACTTGTAATATTCTCAATTCACAGAATAATTTTTTTTTCTATTTATATAACTGCACTTATAAATTCTACTAATTTAAATTGTACAATTTATTATAAAAAACCAAGTTATTCACAACTGTTCTAGTAGTACAAACGCCACCGATGGAAAAAAACAGATTTGTCAAACGTGACCTGAAGTTAGTTGCATTTCGCAAATTAACACATAAAACCAAAGAGGATAAAACTAAAACATTTTGAGATGCCACTTTGTTCGCTTAAAATTGTATTGACAAGTATGTGTTAAGTTTTTGTTTTGCAACTACATTAATTTTATTTTAATATTTATTGTTTACTATATCATATCTATCTATTTAAAAAAATATACATAAATTACAAAAAAAATATTTTATGATTTATTAATATTAGGAATTCTTCTTATGAAGACAAAAGCGAATTTGCTAATATACGTATAGAAATATATTAAAAATAATGTTTGAAATAAACGTTAATATTCTTAAAAAAAAATACAAAAACCGACTTTAAAATAATTTGAAAGTAACAACTTAAAAATTAAAAACAAAATTACAATTTATTAATATTTGTATTTGGATTTTTGTATTGATATATTCAAATTATTTTGACTGTTTTGTATTGTGTAGTTATGACAGTTCATTAGCAAACGTGTAACTATAATTGATATAAAGCGAATCTTACCTTTTTTGTTTCAGATAAAACCATTATGTAAAATTGTAATTATTGGTATTAAAACTCAATATAAATATTTTTTTCACGCTTCCGTAAACTTCAACTTTTTTAATTTTTACGTTTAATAGCACAATTCACATTCAATAACTAGTCAAAATACATTTGACATTAGTACACGAATATTATCGATAGAACTAAGAAACTGTCAAATATGAAGTTAGCTGCGATTTGTCTTTTAATATCAATTTGGAGTTGCCACTCTATGATAGTACGTATAAAATATACCGTAAATGTATATATTAAAATTCTTTGTTACATATTGTTACGTATTGAGTTGCAAATTATTTGTTTATCTGTATATATTATAATAATTTGTTACCGTATACCGTTTATCTGTATATATTTGTTATTCTGTATATATTGATCATCTTGTTTAATACTTTCTATTTAGTTATTATTGATACTATTGAAATAATGTTACAAAACAGGCATATATAGCACCATATATTAAGAAATAGCTGCATAGGAATAATATTAATATCATAATATATTATAATATTGATATCAGATTAAATTTGTTATTACAACTTTTAAATAACTAAATAGAATAATATTGAATAATAGTTTCCTTATATTTCAGAAAGTATTTATTTTATTTATTTATTAATAATGATAGTTGAGTTTATAAAATTAAAACTAACATATATAGATATAGCTCTGGCTACTGAGGCCTTCAGCTATGTGTTATGACAAATTGATATTAAATGCTTATATATCTGTATAGGATGTCTACACAATATAATACTATAATACATATACTTATATTGTGTTGTATTAATAATATACGTATTTATTGCTTTAAAATTTCAGAAAGTAGTGCAATTAAACAAGTGGTGTGATGTTGTCTACCTGTTTGTTTTATGCCGTATACGATTATAAATTTAAAATATTATATCCAAAATTGTTTGAATGCCTCAAAATTGAACTAAAAACACTCTTAATACCGTTACCATTACTAATATCATCTCCGCTGTTACGAACTCCATTGACGTTTCCCATATTACATGTGTTATCTTCTTTTAGCATTTAGGATTGAGCAATATTAAAAAGGTACATATAAGATATAAATGTATTATACTAAATCTACACTATATAGATATATAATATTAACGTTTTAAGGTGGATACTACATATTAGACAATAAATGTAGACATTATGCAAAAACTATATAATAACTTGTACTAAAAAATAGCCCAATGTTTTTCTTAACTCTTCTGCTGTATACCCATCAGCTAGTAGAATTGTATAGTGGTTTGGATACTGTTAATATTTTTTCTTTCTCTCAAGAAAGGAAGGAAATTGTATAAAACGCATTTAGTCTTTACAATAGAGTTCACCTGATGAATTTGATTTCAAAGTCGTTTCCAATGAAAGTTTAAGTAATGAGTAGAATATTCCTGTATGGATTAATTTTCAAATATTATATATGTATAACAATTAATTTTTATTAAATAACTTATATAATAGAAAAACAAAACAGCTGATTACAGTACAATATGTTTTAAATTCTTGAACATACACATGTCTATTCCTTTGTTCTCGATCAATCATACTTAGGGGAATAAATTCATAAATTCTTTTTTTTTTTTGAGTTTTATCCATTCAATATAGTATCATCCAATATGTTCCTTTCTCAGCATGTGTACGGCGATATATAGTACAGCTAAATAATGTAATTTATCAAATACTTTTTTATAAATTTCTTTGTATGATTAGTGGTAATGGTGCTTCTATTCTATTAACATTATTAAAGATCCTTCGCGTTAATTTTTTTTTTGCCGAGAGTGAAACATCTTTATGTCGAAAAGAAAATACTTAAAAGTTAGATGGATTCGAATAGCAAAGAAAACACAAAGACAAAAATTTTAGTTAATTTATTGAAATTTGACTGACCATACAACGCTGTTGCGAGTATTGCTAAGATCCTTCAATTTCCTATACTGTAATCCTTCTTCTTTTTTAGTATATTCTTCTTTTCCAGTATATTCTTTTTTGCCAGTAATTCCAGTATATTAATTACGCATAATAATAAAATAAAACCATTTTATATTTTTTAGGAATTTATTACATAAAATTAGATTTTTTTACATGCTTTCCTAACGTGTAATTGATTTTTATCTATTTGAATTTTGACATAAATAAACACGTTAACAATAAACATCTTTGCATAAAATTGGGAATTTCATATTAAATTATTATTTTTGATATATATCGTTTTAAATTAAATTTAAAGTAGCAGTTAATAAGTTTTGACAAGTACATAAGCAATTGTGCTTCAATATTAAAAACAACAAAATTAAAAAAAATTACATATATATTTAATATAACAATTAAATTGTTTTTGTAGGTTATAAGTATATATAAATAAAAAATAAACTTTAAAAATTGTTAAAAAAAAGTCATATTAAAATAAAAATAAATATAAAATGAAAAATTTCAAACTTACAGAAATATAATTTAAATGATTATTTATTAATCAATATCAATACATAATTAAATTCATTTAAATTATTGGTTCGTTGTATTTAATAAATATGTTTTTAATAAATACATGTACATACATATATATGTAATCATGATAATTTTTTTTGAAAATGCATTAGCAAATGAAATTTAGATATTGAATTTTTACAATTATTTTAAATAAATCTAATTTAATGATATTTAATATGCATTTAGTTTTTTTTTTTTCAATTTCATATTTTGTATGAAGACATATAAGCAAGATCATTTTAAAAACAAAACTTATGTATTGGCGTTATGATTAAAAAATTTCATCGACAAATTACTCAATAACAATTTATTATTAAAAATTTTAAAAATATTAATAAGTAATAAAATTTCTCGCTTTTTGTGCTATTTTAATATTTTTATTGTTTGTGTATGTTTTGATTTTAGTTCGAATTTATTTTCTGTTTGATAGGTTTTTACATCAATTTTTGTTTGGCGCATTCTGGGCAAATAATATCAGGTCCATCGGTGATAAAACCGCGTCCGACTAGACTTGTTTTGCAACTGGCACATACAAAGCAATCGTGATGCCAGTGACGATCCTCAAATGAAATGAAACGTGTGCCGCCAATGCCTAAAATGGATAAATTGTTAACATTTTTGTTATAATAAAAAAATTCACATAATGTATATTTTGTAATTGTTTATAAATAAAATGTTATACATAAAAAATCATGAAAAAACTCGTAAAGAATAAGTCCTAATGAATGGTGAATATTTTTGGAACTTGTTGTGAGTTAAATAATTATTTTTCCATTTGATAGTATTTAACTCTAATATTTTTCGATATTTCGTTATTCTAAAAATATGTATCTGAAAAGATATAACTTTTATTTGTGTACGATTTTAGTTGATCGTATATTTTTCTAAAAAAGGCAGATATTTGCAGTTTGGCAAATATTAGATCTGTTGCACGACAAGATACTCGTATTAACTTTAAGTAACACTGTGTAACCCAAGTGCGTTCCACCAGCAACTTTTCGAGTAAATGAGAGCATTTGAGAAAGCGTAACATCCCTGTCGAAATGTTAAAATGCTAGACAAACTTTATTCGTACATTTATTTATTTATGTTGATGTGTGAATCAGCTGTTTTGGTTTAAATTTAAATTTTTGTATTGTTTATTTGCGCGGCATTGGTGTTTTCACCAGACTTTACACAAGGCTGTTCCATGAAAATTTGTGTAAAGAGCATAATTTGTGTTAATCTTTCAGTTTGTACTTTACTTGTTTTACTCGAGTTTTACTACGAGTAGCTACGTGGAGCAGGCCTAATAATTCGACTGTACAGCACTTGCATAGCTGTATACCACTTCATATTATGGTAACTGATGTTTAATACAAAAACTTAATAAATAATATTTATTATAATATATATTTCAGCTTAAACGTATTTTAAGAGTTACAATATTAAATATTTTTATATTTTTTCATACTTAATCATACCTGTTATTGGCTTAACACATGCTGTACAACGTTTAGCGAAGAGCTCGCCGAAACACTCAGCACAGTAGGGTTTCTCATCGCGACTTGTGAATCGCTGCCCAGCTAAAGTAATATTGCAATGGGTGCAAGTGAAGCATTCACGATGCCATGGTTCATTTTTGTAAGTAACACCACCGGAAGTGATTACCTATTATGAAATGGAATTATTTAATAAATTTTATTTAATATAAATACGATATTAATTAAAAACAATTATAAAAAATATACAAGTTATTAATATATTTTTGCTCCTATACTTCTTTGTTTTTTTATTATATTACTTTGCTTATTTTTATATTACTTTATTTATTATTATTTTGAATGTTGTTGACGATGAGAGATTAAAGATTCAAGTTCTTTGCGGAATTTGCAAGTGTTTAATAATTTATTGATATTATCTTTTAAACAATTTCATATAATCTCAAATTTATAAATGATCTTTTTAATCATTTTAGACACAAAAAAATATGACGAAATGAAAAACTTAATCTGAAAAATACATCTGAATTTTCAGATGGGACTTTAAGGAATTTTCAGTACTTTAATTATATTCATTTGTGTAATGAATTGATTACTTGAGAGAATGTTAAATCTCGTCCAAATGGATATAAATTTTTTTTAAGACCCCGAATCACATAATATTTTAGTATGGTAATATTTATTTAACGATAAAAGAAAATTTCGAAATAACATATGAAAAGATATTTAATAGCGATATTAATTTAATATCGAGCGATAAGAAATGAATTTAAGAATTTATAATTTGTCTTATGCTAGGTTCAGACAGCCAAATTTCCTTAATTTCTTAAAAATTAAATTAAGTCAATTTCGGCAGTATTCATACTAAACCAAATAAAAACAATTATATATTTTTTGTTTACAAATTGAATGTTAAAAATTACATGTTCGAAACACCATTTGTATCTGGAAAATTTAAAAAGTGGATTTCATGTACGTGGATTACTATTTTTCACTCTATTTTAAATTAATAACAGATACAGTTTTTTTTTTATATTCAAATTTAAAAATTTCCCGGTTTTATTAACGTCAACTAACGTTTATTAAAAAAAATGTCAACTTTATTTTTCGTTTAAAATTTATATTACGCATAGTTGCATTTGAAATATCCCTTAATTTTAGCCTTCGTTTTAATGAAATTAAGGCCATTTTTCTTAATTTCGTTCTAACCTACATAAAAACTGAATTTTGTATGGGAAAAACAACTTAATTTCGCTGAAAATTAAGACTTTTGCGAAATTAAGGTGTGTCTGAACATAGTATTATAATTTTTTAAGCAACATATTTCATTTCAATTAATCTATATGTTATTTGTGTTCTTTGCTAATTTTATTATTTTATTGCTTAAGATTTTATTTAAAATTGGTTTTCGGAACAGATATATATCAAATTATAAAATTCTTTACATCAGATCTGTGACTACAATTTATGAGCTTATAAATTCTTTTTTGTCATTTCATATATTTTGTATGAAAATTTATCTGATACTAGTTTTGGTTGTAATCTTTATTATTTATTATACTACTGACTTCGAAGGGTTTTGGGTGTTGGGGCTTCTATTGGTCTTCCTTTCAATTTCAATTATTTCATATAATCTGTATGAAAATTTATCTGATACTAGTTTTGGTCGTAAGTTTTATTATTCGTTGTACTACTGACATCGAAGTGTTCTTTTTTTCTTTTTTATGAAAAATAGTTTTTGAGGAGGTTTTGTGAACTCTATGAATATTATTTAGTTATTATTTTCTCAGTTAATAGAGAAAGTGAAATCCACCCCCTTCCATTTCATAAGACTTTTCCTTATTTTGATTT